AGAATTGATGCACTGTAGAGAAGGATTAGATCGGGGGCAGGGGGAGGAAGAGGAAATGAGAAGACACCAAGTTCGTAACTTGGTATCATCATTCATCTAATTACCTATCAATCAATATAAATATATGAGGACAGGTAACTGGAGAGAAGGTAGTTGTGGCTTAGTCATGCATCTATCGTATCAGCTAACCGCTTCATGTTCATAAGCCTCATCCACCTAGTAAAACCATAATCTTCTCGACGGCAGAAATGATTCACAAGGCTCTTGTGTCCACATGTCCACTCAGTGTCCACTTCCGATATAAAAGTTAATACAATTCACCTATATTTTTAAAAAATAAAAGTGTACAAGACACTGTGCTAAAAATGTACCTGCTGACCAAAGGTAGAAATCATAAAACAAAATATGGATAGGATTTATTGCATAAAATGTTAAAGTATCTATAATTTATAAAAGAAGAAAGACAAATGACTAATACAAATTTAAAAGCTTAACTTCACTAATGATTAAATAAATACAAATTGAATCTAAGAGTTTTCCTGTCTATCAAATTTGAGAGACTTTTTAAACACCCCCACAAGATCTTCCCTGTAATCTGTCTGCTGGAGCTGCTGAAAACAGAGAATCTGACAAGGGCTCTGGGGCCCAAGAAGACACCAGAGCTACTATGAAAAGAGACTGGTCCTAGACCAGGCACGGTGGCTCATGCCTGTAATCCCAGCACTTTGGGAGGCCAAGTCAGACAGATCACTTGAGGCCAGGAGTTCAAGACCAGCCTAGCCAACATGGCGAAATCCCGTCTCTACTAAAAATACAAAAAATTAGCCAGGCATGGGGGCACATACCTGTAGTCCCAGCTACTTGGGAGGCTGAGGCACGAGAATTGCTTGAATCCAGGAGGCAGAGGTTGCAGCGAACCAAGATCATGCCACTGCACTCCAGCCGGGGCAACAGAGTGAGACTCCGTTTCAAAATAATAATAATAAAGAGACTGGTCCTTGAGTTGATTCTTTATTCAATGGTAGAGCTACACAGGAGATCTGCCTAACCAGGAGCATGGCAAGAAATAAACCTGCTAAGATTCAGAATTTCTTCTTCCCCCTGCAATATAACTAATATACAGATTATCTCATTTAACCTTTAGAATAACCCATTGAGGAATGCATGATCATTCCCATTTTGGAAACTGAGGTAGTGAAATCAAGAAACTTGCTATGGCTCTATAATTAACAAGGAGTGGAGCCATAATTAAAGCTCACATATTTCTGGCTTTAAAGTCCAGGCAATGTGAAGTCTGTATTCCAAAATTAAATGATTATGAGGTGATCATCATTCTGTTTGAGAACTAGCCCTATATATTGGCAGAATGGGCCCTCAGCATGCACAGCACCTTGAGGGGATCGTTCCATATCCCCTAAAAGACCAAAATTAGCTGCCACAGCATGGGGGTCTCTTCTGAGTGAGGGCCACTATTGTGTAGGCAATAATGATACTTTAATCAATATCTCTCTATCTCAGTTTTCTCATTTGTAAAAATGGATAGTAAAATCTACTGCAAAATTCTGTTGAGAAGATTAAAGTCTTAGCCCACAGAAGAAAGCTGGCACTGCCTCAAAAGTTATCTTTCTAAAACACAAGCTCCATCATAGTAAATCCTATTTAGTCTTCAAAACACAACTCCAATATCATCAGTGGGAAGACTGTCTGAACTACCCAGTGACAGGGGCAATTGCTCTCTCCTTCCAGGCTTCTATTATGCCCTCCATGGACCTATGTAGTTTCATTCTTCACATTATAACCTAAGCACTCATTTACTTTTCTATCACCCTTACTAAACCGTAAGCCATTTGTGAATGGGGTCAATGGTTTATGCATCTTGTGATGTAAAAGGAATCAAAACAGGCCACCCCAAAATATATCACTTTGGCATATTGATTATTTTGAGCTAAAGGCAATTGAGAAAAAGCAGATACAGGAAGGGCTTTCTGACCCCCCCATTTCTACCTAAAAGCAAGGCATAAAATTTCCCATGAGAAATGTCCCTTCCCTGTGCCAGGAAGAGGAGAACATTCTTATGATCAAAGATGGAGAGTCAACACCAAGATAAATCTCTACTAAAAACACTCACCTATTTTCCATTAGTTTTCCCCATACATTTCCCGCTTTCTCACAATCGACTGCCCCAGTCCAAATTCCCTTTTCCCTTTGTCTTGTCACATCTCCACAATTTATGCTTCCTTAGTAAAATGCTTTATAAACTCTCAGGCCTCTCCCCTTCTTTGGGTCTTTATTTCTTATATAGGAAGCCCTCTATGGTACACATAAAAACATTAACATCAAATAAAATGTGTATGCTTTTCCTCTGTTAGCATGCCTTTTGTCAGTTTAGCTATCAGGACCAGGCACAGAAACTAAGAGGGCAGAGGAAAACCTTTCCTTTTCTACAGATGCCAACACTAAGTCCAGGGCCAGCAAATGGCAGAACATGTTTCATTCAAAAAAAAAAAAAAAAGTCCATAGTTTTATCCTCATAACAACCCTGTAACGCAATGGTTATAAGTCTATGAACACTTCAACATGGGAAAACTGAGGCTCCAAGTTACAGTGGCTGTCTAAAATCATATGCAAGAGGCCAAACTTGCACAGAACTCAGGTCTCTGGACTGAAACCTGTATTCTGCACTATTCCATTTGTAGCTTTTCAAAGACAACAAAGAAAAAAGACCCAGCCCAGACTGTCTAGACCATGACTAGAGAAAGTGATTGCTCAAAGGTGTTAGGAACTGAATGGTATTAGGACATCTTAAAAGTCACCACCTGGGAGAACCCGGGAGGCGGAGCTTGCAGAGAGCGGAGACTGCGCCACTGCATTCCAGCCTGGGCGACAGAGCGAGACTCCGTCTCAAAAAAAAAAAAAAAAAAAAAGTCATCACCTGGGAAAGTATTGGAACAGCAGTAAAGTATATGGAAGGTTGACATATCTGGGTCTAAATCCAGGATCTCTGTCATTAACCCTGTGTGGCCTTGGGCAAATCTCTTAAACTAGGGAGCTTCAGACTTCTTCTTGTAAAATGGGGTTTAAAACAGTGATACTTATATTTTAGGGTTTTATGTAAAGATTAAAGAATAAAAGACACTTTGTATTTTATAAAAAATAACAGTTATAAGAAACAGACTGAGGATATAGTAAGGATCAACCAAACTGCACTTATTATTATATGTTACAGGAAAAAATGGTACATATTAAATCCTTGTGACACAAAGTATTTTTCATACCCTATCTTATTTCATCCTCACAGCAACCTTGTGAAGCAGGTGCCACTACTTTGATCTTATATTGAAGAAACTAAGGCCCTGAGACATTTAAGTAACTTGTTCAACATCACAGAGGTAGCAGTGGGCAGAGCCAGCATCCAGACATATCTTTCTGAGTCTAAAGCCCAGATCAGTTTCAGTGGAGGGAAGACAAGGTGGACAGAAATGTCCCAAATGTCTGAGAGCAGTGTGAAGTGCTAGAAGAGACACAGATTGGACCAGATTCATGTGTAGTTGGGATGTGCATTAAAGATGTTTACCACATGTATAGGACAAGGCAGGGGAGAAATCAAAAGGGAAAAAGATGGCCAACAATAAATATCATGCTCCTCAATGTCCCTTTCAGCAAGTAACACAATGAATAGTAAAGATGACTCATACTCATATCTCAGTCCTTGTGCTAAGAGCCTCCAGGTTAAATATCACATATTGTCATACTGATGTATTATTTTCTCATGATTTTGCTACCATTTGTTATGTCCTGGAAAATGTTCTGAAACAAAAAGAGGAAGTACAGGAAACTTCTGATCTCCTTTATGCAAAGAAGGGGAAACAAGTTCTACGAGGTTAGTCTGTTATTGTCATCATTAACACTAGGCACGTTAGAAAATGATTCAGGTAACCAGAACAGCAGTAGATGACTTCATATCATCTTATAGACGAATAAATGCTACTTCACAATAACACAACAACAACGAATTGTTTCCTGGTATTTTCCTTCGTCACACAGTTCCCCCATGCTTGGACAAATAGGTCTTTGCATTCTCCAGTTAAGGCCCAGGAAACTTTCATGCTGTGCATGTTTTTGATTCATGCAACCAGGTTATGTTCTTGTAGAAAAGTAGTGGAAAAAAAAAAAAAAAAAACGAGGGTGGGGGAGGCCTCTACCAGTGGGATAGAAAGTTCTTTTTAAGTGAGTTCCTCACACCAAGTCCTCCCACCTGAGGCCACAAGTCTGTGAACCCAGAAAGATGCTCAGTTGAGGCTGAGAATCCGGTCTTGGAGAAAGAAAACTCAACAAAGAAGGGGTGGCTGAGCGCACTTTGACAGAGTATAAAATCATTTTGTCTATTCAAATTTATGAGCATAAGGAGAGGGAGAGGTTCTCTACTAACATATACATCCTCGTGTGAACTTTTCCAAAGTAGAGCTAAGGGCACACAGAGCTAGCAGATCTCATAGAAAACTCATTCCTAAGGGACTACCTGTAAACTCAGAAGTTTCTGTCTTCACATGATCAAATGCACAGTAGAGACCACCTCCGCTCTTCCCTCCATTAAAAGCGCTGTGCCCCTCACCACCAGCAACTCACGCCTAGCCACTCCACCCCTCCCCGTGGCCCCTGAAAGGCCTCAGGCTCCACAGAGCCGCAGGACCCGCGGGAACACCCCTCCTCTCCCTACCATCCCCATTATTCGGCACACAGCCCTGCTCTTCCCTGGAGCCAACAGTCTGCAGCTCCTTCAATGCAGGCGCGAGCAGGCAGGAATGGTGGGAAAAGAAGCTGTGCCAGCTGCATGTTTCAGAATCTCCCTCCATATGCATTTGCCAAAGGAACAAAAAGAAAATCAATGCCAGGAAAAGACAACTGAGATGAGGATGCGGTGGGACCGCGGCTGACTCCGTGCCTCTGAGCAGCAAGGGGCTGGCCAACCACGCGTCCGAGCCACAGATCCGAGTCGTTACCTTCAGGATGCAGGCCATGGCGCTCCGCCGGCCCTCCTGCCACCGAGCAGTGGGCGCGCCTGGGTCAGGGGCAGTCCCGGGGGCAGGATGGAGGCTGGTACCGCGGCAGGACCGCTCCAGCCCACATTCCCGCAGATCCAAATAAGGGGACCGCGGGGCAAACTGCGCCGCCACAGACCCCGCCCCCCGAGCCGCGGCCCCGCCCCCGTCCCCATCCACTGGCCCGCGGCCCGCGCGGCCCCGCCCCCGGGTCACGTGCCGTCCCGGGCGCCGGCGCCGGCGGCCCCTCGGTGCCTGCTACTTCTTTCTCTTGTTTTCTTCTGTGAATGTTTCGCGGCTCGGCGTGCACCGAGTGCGCTCCGCAGCAGGCAGGGACCTGGGTCCCGCGGGGGGCCAGAGAACGGTCTTTTCTTCTCGCTTCCGTCTTCTCTCACACATCAGAGAACTCCTTTTTACAGACGTTTCACACTTTGTCAAACTTAAGTGCGTGTGGCATCGCCTTTCTACAGACTTTGGGCACATCAAAGGGTGTTTCAAAAGTAGCAACGAAGTTCTCCCTGGGCTGTTCAAGGATTGAGCCTTCACTCTGTGATGGGCTTATCTAAAATTAATAATTTGCCACTAATAAGGGAGCACAAATATCAACGAATGAAAGCCGTCATGAACCTTACACTGTGTATGGTATATTTTGTGTGTGTGTATTTTATACATACATATATGTGTGTACAATATATGGATTATTGCCTTTTCCTGCTACAAGCTTGTTTATGAAATCGTATGTGCATAATATACAGTCTACAGATACAGGATGCACGCGTGTATATTGTATTAGATATGTACATGTTGATTGTACAATATATGTTTATAAAGTGTGTGTGTGTACATGACAGGACTTTGCTCTTCCCTGCTTCAAGCAAGAGCCGGCTAAGAGAAGCAGTTATTTCTACAAATAGAGTAAGCGCATTGCAGAAGGGAGAAAGCATTCCGTGTACACACACAGATTTTTACCAGTTGGTCTATCAGAAAAATTTTAAAGCAACCCCCAAACATTTACCCAAAAGAAGTTTCACTTGCTAGAAGCCCCATCTAGTTTGCCTCCATGGAATCGGAGAAAGCACTGTGGGCTGGTGGTGTCATGAGACTGGCTCACAAACCACAAGGCAGAAATCAGGCTTTCAAGGAATTTGGTATTTTCTTTGATGAGAACTTGCAAAATTCTCAGAGAGCAGGAGTAACCACAGGAAGGAGGTTGCAGAAGCTGAGCCTGTGGATGAACTGCCTGTCCCATGGGAAGCTCCCGTCTTCAGTCTCCCTGGGGTACCACCCTGATCTTCGACTTCTTATTCCCTCCGCTCCCTCCTCTGCCTTACAGATCCAGCGTGTTTTCAGTAAGAACTCCTTGTTCGGAACGATATACTTTGCTGCTGTAGCTCACGGTCCTTCATGGGCCAGGAAAACTCAGTATTTCATTCATTCACTCATCCCTTGATTAACTCCACAAATTTTTTTTTATTGAGCTACTACTAAATGGAGGAATAAACTTTATTCCCCTTCCACTAAGTGGAGGAAAAATATTGAGGACCTTTCAGGGATAGGAGAATGACTTTCAGGATATCTAACATCAACGTGGGCTCACAGTTAAGTGCGAAAGATAAGAATAAAAGATACATGATACTATAACATGGAAAAGGCCTTAGCCAAATTGGAAGCAAAGTTCTCAGGAAAGAGGGTCTGGGCCTGGCAGAACAGCAGGGCAAAGGGGCAAGGGTGGGCAGACCACATTGTTCTCTCCAGGAAGTTTGTACATCCGGAAAGCGAAACAGCAGGCCCTAGTGAACAGCCCCGCTAAAGACTTCCCTGCAGGGTATCCTTGATCAAGTTTCTTAACCTCTCTTTAATCCTTACCTTATCTAATAGTATCTATCCTCAAGAGAATTAAATGAGATAATAATGTTTGCAAATGCACTCAGCTCAATTTCTAGCACTATGAGCACTTTTTAAATGATAGCTCTTTATGTAAAGAAGAAAATCTTCCACTAAAGATAGATTTGTGGGAGAAGCTGAGTAGAATGATTGCCATCAACCTTGGGTGTCTCAGGAGGATGAACACCAACGGAGCAAACATTTAACATGTTATGTCTTGGGTATGCCATGATGGGGCCTTTACTAACTCCCTCAATCTACTTGGGTATGGCTTTCTCCATTAAATTTCTACCCACCCATGTCCATACTTCCCAAGGTGTTATGTTTTATTAGCATCCAAAAGTTATGTCTAAATACAACTAGAAATCTCATCATAACAATCTTAAAAACAAACTCAAGTTCTAGAATAAATCTGGACTGGAAGGTTTACAAAACAATCTTAACAATCACTGTTTTAGATGGACCACTCTTGATGTCTGGAAAAGAAAAAAAGCTTTTGGATGAAAATAAAAACAGATTTTGAACCTATCAGGGAATGCAGTTACAGCCAGGTTTGTTGTGGCTGGGAGGGTAGGAGTGTGTGGCCAGGATTTTTTTTGTTTTAAAACTGGCCAAACTACAGGAACAGCTTAGTCAAGTCCATAGGTGTAGCATAATTTTCCAGCTCTAACGTTGTGACTTAAAGCCAAGAGTTTCTATTTCCAAAAATAATCATAACAAAATGGAAGCATCCTTCAATTAAATAAAATATCTCATTTGATCCTCACAACATCCACATGGATGTTATCACCCCCAGCTGGTAACTAGGGGAACAGGGGTTTGAATCTAGGGACTTGTGGGTTTGCTATCTTAACTGCTACATTCAGCTGTCTAGTATGTTAGAAGCCCAATCTCTGTCATTTGTCACTCTTCAGATTTCACCTGTTGTCTTAGTGTAGCCATAGGAAAACTTAGGGTAAGTATGAATCCTCCCTGGGATACGTACTAGGATGCAAAACCTAGGGCAAGAATGTGAGTATCAATCTGAGTGTACCGGATAGATGCACTCACGCTGTATTTTTCAACCCTCAGCTCCTGGGTCCCACCTTAACAAAGACCCGGCACTTCTCATTGGTCTCTCACCAACCAAGCTGTTACCACCTTCTGTGCGTGAGAATGACTTCCAATCAAAGATTCTCACTGCTGTATCTCACCTGCTACCTGGTGGTGCCACAGAGCAGCCTGCCAGCCTTTGCTTCCCTTCATGGAGAGATCCTTGGGGACTGGCCCTTTCACTACCTCATCCTCCCTAGGGCTCTTCTTGGTTCCAACTGGTCCATCTTCCGTCTCCTCAGAAGCCTTTCACTAGTGAGATTTCACCATGCCTCAAAGTGAAGACTTCGTGAGTTATGACAAGTCATGGGTGAAAATTTGCTTCAATGTAAATTAAATTCAGTTTTGCTTCAATGTAAACAGCCCCATTACCCCGTAATTCTCAGAGTTATAACATACAGTTAGTTCCCTGATAGAAATAGAATTAACATGCTGACTCTCATAACTTCTCCAATTTCAGCCTGCACATATATTAATTTAATATATTTATATGCAACACAGAGTCATTTATTAAGATTTTAATTGGATCTCAATTTTTCCAATCTAAAGATTTTAAATGAATTCCAGATATCATAAAACTCTTTTTGTCATCCACTACATAAATTATGCCTCCATAGGAGACTGTGACTGGAAGATCCATTAGAAAATGTTATGGGAAAGTCATTTTTTTAACATTCTGAGCCAGGATAGGAAATGATCTTCTTTTTCTAGAAACCATTGCACTGTTGTAATTGTGACCTAGGAAATTTTTCATATCTTAAAGTAGGCATTTAGGTGTCTAGGTCCACATGTGTGTCTGTAGTTGTGTTTAAGTGCATCTGTGGCTATGCCCTTTTAGGTAGCTGTTTATGAGAATACACTGACATATGGGGTTAAGCTTCATTTCCCTCTTTTTTGATAGTAGGACATTTCAAAATGTCATCCAGTTTGCATTCCCAGGACTTGAGCTTACTGCTATTTCAAACCTTTACACAGTTCTAATCCAGAATTCGTCATTATCCCTGACTATACTGATATTTACCTGGGATGAACTCCAAGACAAGTTACGCATGATTTAAAATTACATTTTTTAAATATTATATTCAGTAATGTTCCCCCTTAACTTCATCTCAGCTATTGGAAGATTCCATCTTTTCCCAAAGTTTGTTTTCAAATGGACCAGTAAAAAAAGCTGTTTTTAATTTTTTAAAAATCCACAACTAATGTTGTTTACCTACTTTTCATTACCTAGAAGAATGTAGTTTTTAACCTGATTTGCTTTTCTTAAAGAGTTTCCCTCTAAGATTTTTCTTAAAAAACATAATCAATTAAAAGCAAATATGGACTAGGCATGGTGGCTCATGTCTGTAATCCCAAAACTTTGGGAGACCCAGGCAGGCCTATCACCTGAGGTCAGGAGTTCAAGACCAGCCTGACCAACATGGTGAAGCCCCTAAAACTACAAAAATTAGTCGGGTGTGGTGGTGCACGCCTGTAGTCTGAGCTACTTGGGAGGTTGAGGCAGGAGAATTGCTTGAACCCGGAAGACAGAGGTTGCAGTGAGCCAACATCATGCCACTGCACTCCAGCCTGGTTGACAGAGCTAGACTTCATCTCAAAAAAAAAAAAAAAAAAGAAAAGAAAAAAAAAAGAAAATATGGCTGGAAGCATTGGCATGTAGTTTGAATTAAGTTTGTATTGGATCTCTCCAAGGCTGTTGAGGGCTCCATTATTAATTGAGTCTGATATTTCTTAACCATGTTTCCCAGAGTTTGTTTCCTTTTATTGTGAGATTTCTCTCATGTGTGTTTCTCTACACTCTTCTTGTATATCTCCTCTCAGTGAGGCCCAGTTACATGCTGCCTTAAAAGATTAGAGTGGAAAGTTGGTATTTGAAGTGCATCCATGCAGGACTGATGGGAACACCCAGGGGAGAGGGCCCGACAGTTGGGTTTTGCTGCAGTTTATTTTGCCTGAACCATTTTTTCTCGAATAGTCTGGCCCTCAGAAACCCTCTGGAGAGAGCTACGATTTTTGCTAATTCTTCGTGTCAATACCATCCCCTTCCAGGAATCTCCCCGAACCCTCCTGTTTGTATCTATTTCTGAACTATTGCCTGAAAGATAGAAGAACAACATCATCCAATGCAAAGAGAAAAGGTCCAAAAAGAAGTCACCTAAGTACATTC